CGGTGCCGTGGTGACCGTTGATGGGGCTTCGCCCCTGGCTGGTAACCGTCACCTCGGTACATCTCTGTGAACATGTGGGGGTACGGGGGCAGGAAAGTGGCCCGTGTCGGCGGCCTTTGCATCGGCCCGATCTGCCGATGCGTTGGCCCTGGTTGGCCCTGATGGTCCCGACGCAGTCGGTCAAGGTGCTGGCAGCCGAGTGGTGATGTGCTGAGGGATGCTATGGCTAGGAGGATCGTCAGTGTCCTCCTCTGCTGCAGCACTCGGTGCACGCGAGCAGCGAACCTGGTGGTGGTTGCTGCGGGTGTGTCAGCGTGACCCTGGGCGCTTCGCGGCGCGGACCTTGGGGGTGACGCTCGCGGCGGTGCCCAGGTGGCCAGTCGGAGGGTCACCATGCGGACGTGGACGTGGTCCATTTCGGGGGGGCCGTGGTGGTGCTGCTGGTCGGAGGTCTTCTCAGGGATGCTCGGAAGTGGCTCTGAGGTCCAGGTGTCGGTGGGTTCGCTATCAGTCCGCCTGCGTGCTCGCAGACGGCCGTCGATCGTCGTCGTCGGGTGCCGCACAGTCGCCCGGCGGTCTTCGGCGTTCCGGCTCGCGGTCGGCGGACGGTCGTCGGACGGCCGCCGCTGGGAATCGCACGGCCAGCGTGCGGCCTAGGTGTGGTCGTCGGTCGGGTCGGCGTCGTCTGGCATGTCGTCTGATAGTCGGCGGGCGGCTGTCGGACCTCGTGAGGTCCGTCAGTAGTCGGTGGGCCCTCGAGGGGAGGGTCGCGAGGGCCTGCTTCCGGAGGGCCGGCTGCGGGGTGGGCCCGGCGACCTCTCTGGGAATCCCCCTGTGGCAGTCGACGGACGCCGGACTGGCAGCGTTGGCCTGGCGGCCACAGTGAGCGGCTCCAGCGTCGGTCGTCGGGCCTGCAGTGTGGGCCTGGTGGCCCCCGCGGCAGATGCCCCTGAGAGTCCACGGACGCTCAGATGGAGGGTAACGGCGGACCACGCCTTGGGCGACATCACGGGGAGTGACTGGAGCGTTGGCCTTGTGGCCACGATGAGCGGTTCCAGCGGCAGTCGTCGGGCCCTCGGCGGGCGGTCCCCCGTGAGCCAGGGCGGAGGGGCTGGCTGCAGCGCGGGCCTGGTGGCCCTTGCGGCTGCTGCCCTTGAGAGAGTCCACGGGCGCTCACAAGGAGGGTCACGGCGGACTGCGCCTTGGGCGACATCGCAGGAATTGACGGGAGAGTTGGCCTGGTGACCACACTGAGCGGTTCCAGTGACGGTCGTCGGGCTCTCGGCGGGAGGGTCCCAATGAACCACGGCTGAAGGTCGGGCTGCAGTGTGGGCTTGCTGGCCCCCTTGGCTGGCGCCAGTGGTAGTCGGTGGACTCAGGGGGAGCGTCACTGTGAACTACAACATGGGGGCTGGAGACAGTTTTGGCCTGGTGGCCATATTCGGTTCCGCTGGCAGTCGGCAGAGGCCCGTCGGTCGTGCCGTGATGCTCTGTCACATGGGAGTTGGCTGCAAATTCGGCCTGGTGGCCTCCTTTGGCGGCGGATTGTGCGGCATCGGCCTGGAGTGCGTCACCAAGATCACGTAGAACGCCACGTAGGTCACGAGCTGTTCCTGAAGGTCTCCATGGAGAACGCCACAGAGGAGAGGATCACCCTGGCCGGCGGGAGGGAGGCGCAAGAGTTCGATGAGCGCGGAGAGCGTCGCGAACGCCACGAAGGTCGACTCGAAGTGCCTGACGCTCATGCGCTAGGAGACCGTGAAGATTGCTCCGCAGATGTTGAGGATATTGGAATGGGTCAGGGACTGGTACACGTAGCGTGTGGTCGCCGACTTGGGATGTGAAAACGGCAGGTGGCTTCTGTCGATACTGAACACGACGTTGAACAGGATTCGCTTCGGCAGCTGCGCCGACAGCCCGTCGGAGTCAGTTGCGCCAGGCAGCCGAGGTGGTAAGCCATGCAGGGGGGGCACCACTCGCCTCGCGTGCGCCGGAGCGGCGGCGCGGGGCGCGGCTGGGAAGGGGACAGAAGCCAAGTGCAGCTTGACCGCCCGCGGAGTGCGCTGGGATCCAGCCTGGCTGTGGGCGTCTTGACAAGTCCCCGTGGGGGGAGGAGCGCCGGCGGCCGAGCGCGCTGAACGGCTCGGGCCAAGGCTGGCGGGGGGAGGGGGCTCGAGGGGAGGGGAGGGAGGGGGGAGAGGGGAGGGGAGGGGAGGGGGCAACAGTAGGGGGGTGGGATTGGGCGAGGGGAGGGGAGGGGAGGGGAGGGGGCAACGAGAAGGGGGGGAACGGCTCAGGGGGGACACATCGGCCCCCAAATTGCCCTTTCATCGCTGATTCGGGGGCCTCCAGGGTGGCCTCCAGGGACCTTCTGGGGCCTCTGGTTGTTTCGGCGTCGTCACCGTGTTCGTTCTCGCCGTCGTCTTCGCCATCGTACTCTCACAGTGTCGGCCTCTGGCGGTCGGGGCAACAAGATACCGACACCGCTGCTCCCCAGACCTCGCCCTGGGATGCGTTCTGACCAGGATGCCGAAGCGAATCCAGCCGTGGCGAGGAAGGACCGGTTCAGGAGCGAAAGAATGAGTTACAAGTACGGTAGGTTCGTGTCGTGTCGACCGGCGGCGACCCCGCCGCCGGCGTTCAACGTTGAACGCCGGCGGCGGCCCAGAATCGATCGATGTTGAACGATTGGACGTTGCGGAAACGGCCGATCGTTCAAGGTTGAACGATCCCCGCGGTGTCAGGAACCAACGCCGGGGTCGACACGGCACGAACCTGCCGTACGCATTGCGCGAATGTTCGTATCACGCGCCCGGTCTCGCGGATCGAGGGGCTTGTTTCATGTACATGACTAGGCGTGTACGTCTTTTGTGGATGGGTTGCGGTAGCGGTATCTTTTCCTTTGAGTGTCGGCGCCATCTTTTGCGGTCAAGGTCGGATCGACCGGGCAATTTGTGAGCAGAAATCCGATGCTTTGATTGTTTCATCACAGAGTCCCCAGGAGTCCTGACCGTTTACCCAGGGCGGGTCTTCATCCAGAGTCATTTGTTGACGGCCTTGGGGCCTGGTAAGGACCCCCAGGGCCCGATTATCCTAGCAAAGCAGCCTAGTAGCAGCCAAGGTGAAGTGGCGGGTCGAGCGGAGGCCGGCTACTGAAAACGTGCATTCCTATGTATTCCCTTTGGGCTTCCAGGAAGGATGCTGCTGGGACAAGGGTGAGAGGACGGCCATGTGCACCTCAGCGTACGCTTTATCAGGGATCGTGGCCGTCTGGGCCAAACATGTGGCCAACATTTGGGGCGAGAGCACACTTCTGGAAGAAAGTGCGAGGAAGCCTCAGGCGAAACGGCTGCCAGACGCGGTCCAGGGCTCCCCCCCCCACCTCCCCCTCTCCTTGGGACCAAAAATGCGGCCAGCACCGAGGCGGCAGCACGATTCCTCAGTAGAGTTTGGGGAGTGCTCTCAGGCGAAACGGCTGCCAGACCAGGCGGTCTAGGGGTCCCCGTCCCCCCCTGTGGGACTCTTTGTGGCTTCTTGTTGGCTTCCATAAGAACCGGGCGAAACGCTACTACGGAATCGGCAACAAAAACATCTCGTCGCGATGTTCCACGATTCGAAAGGGCTTGTGCCCTGAAAGCGACAAGCTTTGATTGTTGATTCAAGTTTTTTTCAGATTCCGGCGCAGTGTTGTTGACGTTTTCGACGCGGTTGTTTCACCATTTTCGTTTCGCTTGGAGGGGGTCTGGTCCAGATCATTTCCTTTTTACCGGGTCCGAGCCGTCTTCGAACTAGTTCCTCACGTCACTCGGATCCCTGGACTGCCCAGGCCGTTGCTGTCAAACATCTTTACAGTTTCGGTGAACTGTCTTTGCCTTTTCCTTGTCAAGAGGCAAGAGCAGGGCAATGAGTTTTTCATCTCCTGGCGATGACGGGCGTGATTGGGGGAGGGAGAAGGGGAGGGGGGACGGCCGGCTACGTCGCGATCCGCGCCGGCTCCGTCTGGGAATTTCTCGATCGAAGAACAAGAAGCGGCATCATTACGAACTTTCGGAGGTGGGCGCGGATTCTTGGGGGTCTGCGCCAGGCGCGAGGGCTGGCCCCCCTGCCTGGCGCGCGGAGCGCGCAAGGGGCGGCGCGGGAGGCGCCGCCTGGGAGGCCTGGCGCAGACCCGAAACTCGGGACGATCGAAGTGGGTACGGAAGGCATGGGTACAATGCCCAACAGCAGTTCCTGTTCATTTTGAACAGGGCTCGCTGTCCGCGCCGCCGCAGACGATGCTCCTTGAAGACAAAAAGCCGCCTGCTCAACAGCGGCCGCTGTCGGTTTGGGACAACATTCGCAGTTTGGCATTGTACCCATGTTTTCCGTACCCATTCCTGGCGTCCAAAAAGAATTCCGTGCGGACTTTCGAAAGTTTACGGTTTTTATTTCTTTGGGTTTTCGACTTCCGTAACCCTTGAGCCCCCAATGTGGAGCCCGATCTTCTCCACGCCAAAGTCGCCGATGCATCGGCGACGTCGCCGGTGCATCGGCGACGCATCAGCGATGCATCGCCAATGCGGCGCGATCCTCCGACCCGATCTACTCAGACCTGAGCGACGCAGGAAGGAGGGGTCGTGGCGCGCACGCTGCCCGCGAGAGGCCGCGCGCGAGCGCCCTCGTCTCCAACGTAGCGTTCCGCTCTGGTGGCCTGCGTACGGCAGGTTCGCGTCGTGTCGACCGGCGCCGACCCCACCGCTGGCGTTCAGCGTTGAACGCCGGCGGCGGCCCAGAATCTGTCGATGTTGAACGATCGGACGGTGCGCAAGCGGCCGATCGTTCCAGGTTGAACGACCCCCGCGGTGTCGGGAACCAGCGCCCAGGTCGACACGACACGAACAAGCTACCGCGCAAGGTCGCTACACGTGTCCTCTCGCGTAGGGCCCGTTTCTCTTCGTCCCTCCTCTGGGAGGCCTCTGGGGAAAACCTCCTGCAACCCTCGAGCTCCCCGGGGCCGCGAGGGGCGGCCGCCCCGGGCGCCGCGCCGGCGGCTGCCCCGCCGTTCCACGTGCTGCTCACGGGCTTCGGGCCGTTCCTGAACTTCACCCACAACCCCACGGAGGTGGCGGCCGCGTCCCCAGAGGTTTCACACCCCTCGCAGGTGCCAGAGGGGGTCTGTGGGCAAGGGGTTTCCCACAGAGTCCCATAGGGGCTTCGCATGCCCAGCATGGTGACGCTGCAGAGGCCTTGGGGGGACTTCGTGGAAAACCCCCTGCGCCAAAAAGCCCCTTCGGAGCCCTCCAGGCAGCTTCCATGCAGCCTCACATCTGGCGCCGGCTGGGGGTCCGAGGTGGCCACGCATTGGTTCCAGCCAGCAGGAAGGGCGGGCAGGTTCGAGGCTCTCGCTTCGGAACGGTCCTTTTTGCATTTTTCGGCCTCTGTGGGCCGTCTCCGAGCCCCTGGAACAGTGGAACACGGATCCGGGGCGAGAAGCTGCATCAGATGGACCCCGGGAGGGGTCCAGGAAACGATTTGGAGGATTTGGCCTCATCTAGGGGGCCATAGGCGAACCCTACCCCTACCCCCCACCGAAGTGAACCCCTCCCTCCCCCTCAGAAATCGTGGGGGGTAGGGGTAGGGTTCGCCTGTGGCCCCCTAATTATCATCCCCCCATCCTGGCTGATGGTCTGGAGTCCCAGCCAGTCGGACCCCCTGGCCGCCTCCGAGTCTCACTCCCGTCGCAGCTTCTGTGAGGCCGCACACCCTCCGCAGCATCCAGTCTATTCGGCGGCGAGCCCTGGGGGGAAGTGGGAAGGCGCGGGCCTTCTCAGAAGGCTCGGAAGGCCCCTGGCCTTCCGAGGAGTTTTTTGGGCCCTCCCCGAAGACGCTGAACACTTCTCAGAACGCCGGAGCGCTTCTGAGAAGCCCCGCCGCCTTCTGACAAGGCCTTCTCCTTCTTGCTTCTCCCCCCGCCGTCTTCTAGGAAGGCTTTCTCCTTCCCACTTCTCCTCCTCCAAGAGCTTTTGATTACAAAAAAACATGCTTCCCCACCCTCTCTCGCCGCCGGATTATAGAGGCCGCGGGGGTTCGAGCCAGAGCCCCACGGGCCTAGCATCGCACGTGCAGTGCCCGGGGGGCGGCCCGTCTCCCATCCTTCCTACGGTCCAAGGGGGACGCGAAGGTCCCTGAAGGCGGAATCCAGGTTGTGGAAAAATCACGACGGGAAGTTTTCGGCTTCCGAGGGCCTTCACTTGGCCTGGGGACCGTCAAACAACGACTCAGGATGGAAAACCGGTCCCGTGGAAGAGGTCCAGACCTCTGGGGCTCGACGTTGTGAGAAAGTCACGACGTCGCTGTCTGGGAATGGGATGGGCACGAGTGGGCCTTTTGGCCGCCCCGAAGTCCAAAGAGGCACCACCGCCTCCTCATCTACACGTCTCAGTGGCACGCGTGTCCTGCGCAGCAGCAGTCTCTCTCCTCCCCTCGAGTCGTGAAAAGGTTTTGTGGCGAGAGTTTTTATGCGCAGCAGCAGTCTCTCCCCCCCTCGAGTCGTGAAAAGGTTTTGTGGCGAGGGTTTTTATGCGCAGCAGCAGTCTCTCTCCTCCCCTCGAGTCGTGAAAAGGTTTTGTGGCGAGAGTTTTTATGCGCAGCAGCAGTCTCTCCCCCCCTCGAGTCGTGAAAAGGTTTTGTGGCGAGGGTTTTTATGCGCAGCAGCAGTCTCTCTCCTCCCCTCGAGTCGTGAAAGGGTTGTGGCGAGAGTTTTTATGCGCAGCAGCAGTCTCTCCTCCCCTCGAGTCGTGAAAAGGTTTTGTGGCGAGAGTTTTTATGCGCAGCAGCAGTCTCTCCCCTCCCCTCGCGTCGTAAAAAAGCAGTCGTGGCGAGGGTTTTCCTGGTACTCTCCGGCCCCCGTGGAGGCCCCTGCCGGGCCCGGGACCCGTGAACCAAACAACGGCTCGGGAGGAGCAGCTCGTCTCGGGGAAGGGGCCGGGCCCTCTGCACTCGGGCCGCCGGTTTTGACATGCATCGCGGCGTCTGGGGTCTGGATCGTTTTTCTCCTCCGTCCCTGTCCCTCCTCCTTGCCCCTCCTTCGTCCTCCCCATGACTCGAGCAGGATCACGCGTGCGCGCCCGCTGCCATTCTGTCTTACGCCGTGCACGCGGTATTTCTGGTACTGAAGGGCAGATGTTTGCGCTTGGCTATGTGTCATGTTATCTTGCGCCACTTCTTCTACCTTTCGCCCCTAACACCCGCAATTCTGGTTGATAGCGGAGCTTGTGTAAGCCAGCTCTAGTACCGATCCACGGACTGCGCAGAGCGCAGAGTGGACTCGCATTCGCATGTCCCCCCCTAACTCTTCAACGACGTCACCCTCCATTCCTCGAACAGCTTGTGCTTACGCCTGTTCTGCAACCCTCCCGCACCCACAGGCGCGACGAGGTTAACGCCAACGACCGCAAGTGACCCTGTGAGTGCATCGTCCCTTGGGGGACAGATGGCCCGGTGCAGGGGTAAGTCGACCAATGGAGGGAGGCAGTCTCGGCCCCCTCGCCACACCTACAATTTTCCGGCGTTGAAAGCGGGGCGCTGACCCTTGCGCTATACCGCACGACTGGGCCAGTGCTTGGGCTCGGCTTGTGCGAAGTCGTGCTGTCCTTCCTCGTGGTCTCTTGGTGAGCATGCTGCGCGCGCCGAGCGACTTGGTTAATGCACTCATTCGACAGCCCTTGGCCCCAGCCAAGAGCCTCAGCACTACTACGGCGTTTCTAAGCATCGAGATGGCGTCCGTCTATGTGGGCCCGAGGAGGAGACGTGTCACCGTGGACACCCTGCCTGCGTCGCCATTGAGACTTTCTGAGGAAGAGACGCGCCAGCTTGGTGCCATGGGGAGCACTTCGTCGACAGCCTGATGTTGCCAATGCTTGTTGGCGTCCCAGTTTGGGACCGCAGCCGGCCAGTCACGGATTTGGCGAGTGCTGCAGTCACCACGTCCAGCTGCAGCCAGCACGACGGCTGCGCCACCGCTCACTGCTCATTGGGTTCTATGTCCCATCCGCCCTACCAATTCGGCAACTGCGAACTGCCGTATTTGTTTTTCTTCTTCTTCTTTTTCTTCTGCCTACCGCCTCTCCGAGCGCCTGCTGGTGCCGATGTTGGCTTCTCCCAGCCAGCTTCAGGCGACAATCGGTTATGCCACGCGGGATGCAGCCCACAGAGAGACCTTGGGCGGGCCGGGTCAGCCAGCATGCGATTCCAACCAGTGTGCTCGTTTGTCAGTTTGTACGCCTTCTGTGCATCTTCACCTTCATCCATCTACTCAGTCACATCGCCGCTTCAGTGAATAGGAACAGTTGAGGCACACGCCAGCCGACGCCGGCAGTGCTACCTCACTGCGCGCCGCCTCGCAGCTGTGCATGCACCATCCGGCACGATCTGCCTTCAGCATGCAACCTGCTGCGGGTCCAGCACCCGACTCGTCCAGCGTTTTGTCATTTTCTGGTTCGCCGTCCGGCGGAAGGAGTGCCTCAGTTGAGGTCTTGCCGACCGGCTCAACGGCTTGGCCCACTCACCGAGGACGCGCCCCGTCGCCCCCCACCGCCCATCTGGTGTCAGATCGCGGTCAGTGCTTGTAGATGAGTCGGCGCCCGACGATCCAAGGGATCGAGCTCCACAAAGCTCTCTGCCTCCTCTCCGACGGACCGCCAGATCAACGCAGAGCCGAGCACAACATGCTCGCTTTGTCGATGTACACGCATTGGCTTGGATTTGGAGGATATGTTCATGAAGGTTGCCGTGATTTGACACAACGCACGCACTCAGTCGAATTGGACGTCACATAGAGTGACTCGGCACTGAGGAAGAGACGCGCCAGCTTGGTGCCATGGGGAGCACTTCGTCAACAGCCTGATGTTGCCAATGCTTGTTGGCGTCCCAGTTTGGGACCGCAGCCGGCCAGTCACGGATTTGGCGAGTGCTGCAGTCACCACGTCCAGCTGCAGCCAGCACGACGGCTGCGCCACCGCTCACTGCTCATTGGGTTCTATGTCTCATCCGCCCTACCAATTCGGCAACTGCGAACTGCCGTATTTGTTTTTCTTCTTCTTCTTTTTCTTCTGCCTACCGCCTCTCCGAGCGCCTGCTGGTGCCGATGTTGGCTTCTCCCAGCCAGCTTCAGGCGACAATCGGTTATGCCACGCGGGATGCAGCCCACAGAGAGACCTTGGGCGGGCCGGGTCAGCCAGCATGCGATTCCAACCAGTGTGCTCGTTTGTCAGTTTGTACGCCTTCTGTGCATCTTCACCTTCATCCATCTACTCAGTCACATCGCCGCTTCAGTGAATAGGAACAGTTGAGGCACACGCCAGCCGACGCCGGCAGTGCTACCTCACTGCGCGCCGCCTCGCAGCTGTGCATGCACCATCCGGCACGATCTGCCTTCAGCATGCAACCTGCTGCGGGTCCAGCACCCGACTCGTCCAGCGTTTTGTCATTTTCTGGTTCGCCGTGTGCAGGAAGGACCACTTCAGTTCAGAGGTCTTGCCGACCGGCTCAACGGCTTGGCCCACTCACCGAGGACGCGCCCCGTCGCCCCCCACCGCCCATCTGGTGTCAGATCGCGGTCAGTGCTTGTAGATGAGTCGGCGCCCGACGATCCAAGGGATCGAGCTCCACAAAGCTCTCTGCCTCCTCTCCGACGGACCGCCAGATCAACGCAGAGCCGAGCACAACATGCTCGCTTTGTCGATGTACACGCATTGGCTTGGATTTGGAGGATATGTTCATGAAGGTTGCCGTGATTTGACACAACGCACGCACTCAGTCGAATTGGACGTCACATAGAGTGACTCGGCACTGAGGAAGAGACGCGCCAGCTTGGTGCCATGGGGAGCACTTCGTCAACAGCCTGATGTTGCCAATGCTTGTTGGCGTCCCAGTTTGGGACCGCAGCCGGCCAGTCACGGATTTGGCGAGTGCTGCAGTCACCACGTCCAGCTGCAGCCAGCACGACGGCTGCGCCACCGCTCACTGCTCATTGGGTTCTATGTCTCATCCGCCCTACCAATTCGGCAACTGCGAACTGCCGTATTTGTTTTTCTTCTTCTTTTTCTTCTGCCTACCGCCTCT